CAAAGGCCACAAGCTCAAAAGACCACAGTTATCAAGGACCACAAATCTCCTAAGACCGCAAACCTCCAAAGACCACAAGCCTCAAAGTCCAGAAGCTTCAATGACCACAAGTTTCCAAAGACTGCAAACTTCCAAAGACCAAAAGCCCCAAGATTAAAATCCACAAGCTACCAAAGACCACGACAAACCTCCAAAGACCACAAACAAGTCTCCAAAGACCACTAACAAGCCTCCAAAGACCACAACAAGTCTCCTAAAGCCACAACAAGCCTCCAAAGACCACTAACAAGTCTTTTAAAACCACATCAAGCCTCCAAAAACCACTAACAAGCCTCCAAAGACCACTAACAAGCCTCCAAAGACCACTAACAAGCCTGCAAAGACCACTGACAACCCTCCAAAGACCACTAACAAGCCTCCAAAGACCACTAACAAACCTCAAACGACCACAAACAAGCCTCCAAAGACCACAAACAAGCATCCAAAGACCAAAAACAAGCCTTCAAAGACCACAACAAGCCTCAACGAGCCTCAAGGTCCTTTTACCATCCGTCTATGTCTTAATTTCTCTCTCCTTTTTAGGTCTTCATTAGGCTGTGCAGATTATGTGGGCAAGTGACTTTTAAAATTTACCTGGCCGGATATTTTATGGAAAAGGTTACATAAACATCTTAAAAGACTCAAATTTGTTGTGTATATCAACTCAGATCACTTGTGTTTGTCTAAATATTGTCAGTGGCGGTAACCCATGACATGTGATGTCATAACACCTGTCACTTCACCTTTCCATTACTGTACTATCTTATCTGTGTCATATTTATCTCAAGTCATCCATTGTCATCCATTACTCTCTATCTCTCTGTCTTTCATATTTATCTCAAGTCATTCATTGTTATCCATTTTGTAAGAAGGTCTGTCTGTGGCTTCCTTTTTCTCTCGTGACTCACGTCGGTTGGCTGGCTGGCTAAGGAAAAACTATAAAGTATATACTGTATACGTAGAATTAGGTTAGGTTAGGTTACATTTTTCGTGTTAAGTAAGGTTAGGTTAGGTTGGGTTAGGTCGTAGTCCCTATGTTGTGCTGACGTAGTTACAATTGCCAGTACCCCTTCGTGACTCACTAAAGGTTTCAAGCGTCACCAGATAATGACACAACACCTAGAACTGATAATATAGGTTAAGTCACGAGTGTTCTCTGCGACAAGACGTGTACAGTTAAGACCCTTTTGTTAACTTAATATCACGTACGGGTGATTTTGTGTGTGTGTGTGTGTGTAATAATAATAATAATTAATAATTAACGGTTTATTGAAAGAGCATGGCAGCCGGAAGGCTGAAAATATACAGTTACATAATTGGGGAATTGGTCTCTTGATTTACAATATACAAGTAACATAAGTGATACAAATATGATATATAATAACTAGGTGGGGAGGAGCTCAAACTACAGGGCATTTCAACATAGTGACAGTGCAAAAAGTAAGATTGACTGAGAGTGAATACACTGGTTGGTTACAAGTTAGTGATAATTTTTACAATGGTTGGGACTGGGCTGTTCTTATAGCGACCAGTTCGTGCTCGTATGGGCTGGATGCGGTTGTGGTGTGTGTGTGTTTGTGTGGATTAAACTTGTAAGTTACATTTGGGATCACCTGAAGTTTAGACACTAGCTTATTTCACCCTAGCGTAAACCTATCATAACAAAATATAACCCAGTTTAACCTAACCCCCAGGTAGCGTTACACCACCACAGCAAATCACTATAACCGACCACCATTAGACCAACAAAAGACCACCTCAGCGAACCACTTCAATAGACGGAAAAAAAACTCTGCAATAGATGAAAAGAACAGACCACTACCACAGGGGGAGGGGTAAAGCGCGCGCGTGTGTGTGTGTGTGTGTGTAATGAGGGTTCACGGGCACACTAACACCACCATTAGGCAGTAGACTGTAGAGGTACTGTATATACGTATGCGATAATTGACAGACAGGGAAATAGAGTTTTACTTGTAGTACATTATCTGAATGATTTTGGGATCACCTGGAGAATAGCTCCCCGAGCTTTTCAAATCTTACGATTATCCACGCTAACCTATCCCCCTTGGTAACGTTGGGTTTTAATCATAAGGTGAAATAAGCCGAGGGGCAAATCTTTAAGTGATCCCAAATTTCGCGCAAGTTTACAAAATCGTTCCTGGTAGGAACCTTGGTAGACTATCTCCACTAAAACTATTACAAAGAACCTGGAATTGGGATAAGTTAGGACAAACTAACAAGATATGATCATTATATTGGTCAATCTTAACGATCGTCATTCAATTAACTATCAATTAAACTAATAGATATTCAATATAATCCGTCTTAATATGGCCATCAACGTCAAGAAGTAAAAAAAAAAAAAACTCGTGAGCAAAACCCACGAAATGCCTCCCCTGTTTTGGTTTAACTTTTTTTTTTGCGAGTGTCAGTATGGACGGGACCATTACTTGGAATAAATATGACGGAATATCTTAATAAGATATTAAAATAAAGTAATATAAAGGGTCTCCAGTCATCAGTAAAGCAGTTCCAATATTCTGCAGGACAGATGGCACGTGACGGGAGTAGGTGTAGTGTGGTGTACTGTATACATAATGGTTGGCGTGCAGGTTGTATTTGGCTATCTGGGTCACGGGGTAGCCTACACAGTGAGAGTGTTTTTGTTTTTTTTTGTTTTTTTATGGGGATTAGCCCACCCGGGCACAGGTCACTGACCCACATCGGGGCCTGGGGAGCGAAAATGTAATAATAGTAATAATAATCATCATCATAATAATAATAATAATAATGATAATAATAATAATAATAATAATAATAATAATAATAATAATAATAATAATAATAATAAAGAACCACAAAGAAATACAAAAATGAAAAAAGATCAAAAGCAAGAAACAATATATGTATGTTGTGTTGTCAATAGTAAGTGAAACAATTGAGACCCTGCAATTGTGTGTAAATGAGGCAGAAAGTCAGATAAGCAACCTGAGACTCGGTCACAAGGTGTGTAGGCCAGCCAGTGTCTATCCCCAGGCGATACAGTATATGGACCTGCACAAAGGGCGACAAAATGTTATGTTTAATCTTTTAGGTGCATGATCTGTCAAGCTGATCTTTAGATAAGTAGTTTTGTTGGTTAGTTAATCCTTATTATTTATTTAATTCACGCAAAGAGAGTGATAGTTGACAAATGATTAACATTTGAAGATCATATGAACGATAAGCTTGATAAGGTGAACTTGTTGATGGGTCAGATCTAATTAATCATTCCATCATTGAAATGTTGAATACTTGAGGTTATTTTACAAGCCCTTGATGTAAGAACACTTAAGAGTCTGTCAGTACAGCATGGCAGCCTTACAAAGGGAGAGACATTCACACAGATAATCAGTAAAATCATAATACAAGTTTATTTTGATTCAGTATGTGTATAGAGAATGGAGGTATCCAGAGGTGTTGAGAGGAGGGCAACAAGCCGAGTTACTAAAGAGTTAAGGCATCACCATCGACGTACTTTAGGATATGCAATTTAATATGTAATGGTATAATCGAGATTGTCAAAAGTGATGTAAAGACTTGCCTGCCAGTAGGACCACATATCAGTAATAATTTTAAGCTGGGCGAGATAAGTCCATACACCAAGTTGAGATAAAAACAACTGTGCCTCGTGGAAGTTCGGAACATCATACCTAAGCAAGTGGTCATATCTGCAAAGGTGTTGACTGTCGAGAAAAAGATGAGACATATCAAGATGTTATGGTCGAGTACAGGGTTGTATAAGAGCCTGTCTGTTGTGTTGGGAGAAGACGCAAAGGGGTGGGAAGACTATATAGGTAACGTTTGAGAAGCAGATGAGGAGCTAGATATACCGGCGTACAATTTTGACGTTAATATGGCTGTTATCTTTATTTCGTTAGAGACGATCTAAGAGTAATATTTACAGGGAAAATTAACCTACGAACTTTTATAAATGCAGCTCCATGTTAGTAATCAATCTCACCTGGAGGTCGTGTTGGTCACGTGACCTCCAGCTGCCCCTATACCCCCAGTTATCAACTTTTCGTAACCGATATTGATCAAAATTTATAAGAATAACAATATCATACTGCTATGCTGAGCTGCTTCAGTAAACGTTGTACCATGTTTTATTATTTATATTAGGGATAAGACTGAATTAATTAAGTTGATGGTATAGGCTACTGATGAAAAGAATGGGATTGATAATTTAATTAAGAATAAGTAAGGTTTGATAAGGTCAACTTATGTGTCCTTAGGTACTAATATATGTACAGAATTGTACTGTATATAGTTTTCTGTTGTCTTATACGCATTTATGTGTTGTCATTATTATATTATAACCATTAATCTAACTCCTAAATAACCTTATCTTTGTAGATATCATCAGGTGTTTGTAAGGACAATTATTTTATACTTTTATAAGGTTGGTGAGGCAGTTCTGGGGTTGTCTAGTAATAAAACCTTTTAGGTATATGTGTGTTTGGTTTGTATTTATTATGACTTGTGTGTTTATTTTTTATTCATTTCTTAACGTGGGAGGTATGGGTGAGGGTGGACAGTGGTGCACGCCTGCTGCTGCTGGTGCAATTGTGTCGGTGTACAGTCGCCATCGAGGTTAAATAATGATGGTCCCTACTTGATTCAGGGTGGCAGGCACTATGGACATCTATTGTAGGGAGTAATACTGGATAACTAGTACCTCGGAACATAAAGGTACCCAGTTACTTCTCGGTAGAGAGAAGAAAATAATGTTTAGAAGTTTACTCGAATTTGTAAATCAACAAGTCTGTCGCTTCTCCCCTTGATTGCCGACAAATTTATCCCTAAACGTCTTGTAAGTACAAAAAAAGGGGGAGATGGGCTCTCATCATCCTGTAATTCAACAAATCTGACGTTTTTCTTCCTCACTGGCGAAACACAACATATCACTGGACTCTTACCTGGTTGGTGTCGTTGTAGACACAGACGGGGCCCATGACGATCTTCCAATTGCAGTAGGGGCTGCCCATGGACACTACCAGTTCCCCCTCATCTTCAGGCGCGACACTGCTGGCGGCCAAGTCTTCTTCTTCTACTTCTGGTGTGAGGGTGGTTGAAAGGATGGAGTCTGTAGGCGTGGTAGTGGCGAGTTGTAGCAACAGTGCCATGACGAACAACGTCGCCACCCTCACCATCTTGATGTCGCTGCTCTCACCCAGTCTTGCCATACTCCTCCTGAACCACAAAGAAAATTTCCCTTCTTAGCACTCTTAGCTCCTGCCTGTTGCTGGGTACATATTCAGCCCCTCACATCCAGCACTTAACCACTTAGTTTCAGGCTTGTTCAAGGGCTTTCTCAAATAATCTCACTCACTACCTTGGGACACTTATAATACCAGCCCTGTTGATTATACCGGAACAAGATTGTGATCTATAAGTTCTCGTTTTAAATCCACCCTATATTAACATAAACATTACAAGAGAGGAATAATATGTTTCTGTGTATGTGTGTATGCACCTTGGAGGTCGACTGAGATACTGGCATGTATATCGCCTTATCATCGTCTCTCCCTCTTTATCTGTCCTGCTCCAATGATACAGATTGTGCCTGCGTCATGACACGCCCACAGCACCAGGGACACGCCCACAGCAACAGGCAGCCACCAGGGACACGCCCACAGCGACAGGCAGCCACCAGGGACACGCCCACAGCAACAGGCAGCCACCAGGGACACGCCCACAGCGACAGGCAGCCACCAGGGACACGCCCACAGCAACAGGCAGCCACCAGGGGACACGCCCACAGCATCAGGCATCCACCAAGGACACGCCCACAGCATCAGGCAGCCACCAAGGACACGCCCACAGCATCAGGCAGCCACCAGGGACACGCCCACAGCATCAGGCAGCCACCAGGGACACGCCCACGACACCAGGCAGTCACCGCGGACATGCCCACAGCACCAAGCCTCCACCAGGGACACGCCCACAGCGCCAGGCAGCCACCAGACACATGCCCACAGTACCAGGCAGCCACCAGGGACACGCCCACAGCACCAGGCAGCCACCAGGACACGCCCACAGCACCAGGGACACGCCACCAGCAACAGGCAGCCACCAGGGACACGCCCACAGCGACAGGCAGCCACCAGGGACACGCCCACAGCATCAGGCATCCACCAAGGACACGCCCACAGCAACAGGCAGCCACCAGGGACACGACCACAGCATCAGGCAGCCACCAGGGACACGCCCACAGCGACAGGCAGCCACCAGGGACACGCCCACAGCAACACCCAGCCACCAGGACACGCCCACAGCATCAGGCAGCCACCAGGGACACGCCCACGGCACCAGGCAGTCACCGCGGACATGCCCACAGTACCAGGCAGCCACCAGGGACACGCCCACAGCACCAGGCAGCCACCAGGGACACGCCCACTGCACCAGGCAGCCACCAAGGACACGCCCACAGCACCAGGCAGCCACCAGGACCGCCCACAGCACCAGGGACACACCCACAGCAACAGGTACACGCCCACTGCACCAGGCAGCCACCAGGGACACGCCCACAGCACCAGGCAGCCACCAGGGACACGCCCACTGCAGGCAACCAGCAGCCACGGCAGCACAGCAGGGACACACCACAGCACCAGGCAACTAGCAGGGACACACCCACAGCACCAGGCAACTAGCAGGGACACACCCACAGCACCAGGCAACCAGCAGGGACACACCCACAGCACCAGGCAACCAGCAGGGACACACCCACAGCACCAGGCAACCAGCAGGACACACCCACAGCACCAGGCAGCCAGCAGGGGACACACCCACAGCACCAGGCAACCAGCAGGGCACCAGGCAACCAGCAGGGACACACCCACAGCACCAGGCAACCAGCAGGGACACACCCACAGCACCACAACCACACCCACAGCACCAGGCAACCAGCAGGGACACACCCACAGCACCAGGCACCAGCAGGGACACACCCACAGCACCAGGCACCAGCAGGGACACACCACAGCACCAGGCAACCAGCAGGGACACACCCACAGCACCAGGCAACCAGCAGGGACACACCTGCAGCACCAGGCAACCAGCAGGGACACACACAGCACCAGGCAACCACCAGGGACACACCCACAGCACCAGGCAACCAGCAGGGGACACCCACAGCACCAGGCAACCAGCAGGGACACACCCACAGCACAGGCAACCAGCAGGGACACACCCGCAGCACCAGGCAACCAGCAGGGACACACCTGCAGCACCAGCAGCAACCAGCAGGGACACACCCACAGCACCAGGCAACCAGCAGGGACACACCCACAGCACCAGGCAACCAGCAGGACACACCTACAGCACCAGGCAACCAGCAGGGACACACCCACAGCACCAGGCAACCAGCAGGGACACACCCACAGCACCAGGCAACCAGCAGGGACACACCCACAGCACCAGGCAACCAGCAGGGACACACCCACAGCACCAGGCAACCAGCAGGGACACACCCACAGCACCAGGCAACCAGCAGGGACACACCCACAGCACCAGGCAACCAGCAGGGACACACCCACAGCACCAGGCAACCAGCAGGACACACACCCACAGCACCAGGCAGCCAGCAGGGACACACCCACAGCACCAGGCAACCAGCAGGGACACACCCACAGCACCAGGCAGCCACCAAGGACGCACCTACAGCACCAGGCAGCCACCAAGGACGCACCTACAGCACTAGTCAGCCACCAAGGATGCACCTACAGCACCAGGCAGCCACCAAGGATGCACCTACAGCACCAGGCAGCCACCAAGGATGCACCTACAGCACCAGGCAGCCACCAAGGATGCACCTACAGCACCAGGCAGCCACCAAGGACGCACCTACAGCACCAGGCAGCCACCAAGGACGCACCTACAGCACGAGGCAGCCACCATGGACTCACCTACAGCACCAGACGGCCTAAACCTCAGGTTGTTCCCCACTTCATAACCAAGGTGTTGAGGGTCAGGAAAAGCATCACCCATACATAAACTTCTAACCTAACCTAACCTAACCTAACCTAACCTAACTTTACCCCCAGATAGCGTTAGACTATTTAACCCCAAGCTGAAATAATCTGGGGGTGCTTATCTTCAGGTAATACACACTTTTACACCCACACCCACCCCTCCCATTTCCTCATCATACATAAGGAGAAGAGGATTCACGAACAACCTTCGCTTTCAAAGGTCGACTTGTACACAATCAGCTGTTCCGGACCAAAACACACCACCACCTCGCTCACACCTGTCAAAACAATGCACTTTACACAAAGACACGAAAACGCAGCTACACAGGATACTAACCTTTCAATCCCATCTCCTGCGTCATCTTACACCCTGGTTAATTATTCCTCAAATAACTTTTACTTGATAGAGCAATTAACTTTCCTCCCCACACACACACGTACACACTCACACCGAAGGGTCAAGACGTACCTGGCGCTCCTCTCGGAGCGGCCAGGTCAACTGTTAAGTTGGCCCATACCAACCCCCTCCCCTGAACCACTTCTCCCCACCGGAATATCAACAAGTTCTCGCCAGAAGTTACAATTTCATTTGGGAAAGAAATGGAACCAGTGTTAAACAGAGGTGAACATTGGTGAACAGTGCTTAAGTCAGTGAGAACAACTCAACAGTAACAGTCGTACTCAAGTTAACCTTCACACAGTGAGGTCCCAGGTACCCAGTGATAACGGCCCGTGAGACCCAACAACCAGCGATGTGTTAATCCGTCTACGATAGGAAGGCCTGGGACCACACCTCACTCATATAACACCATCTGTGAGGGAATTACTACACCATGTCAAGTCCCTCGCACCCTCTGTGAAATTACTGCACCACGTGATGCCCTCATAACACCATCTGTGAGGGAGTTACTACACCACGTCAAGTCCTCATAACACACCATCTGTGAGGAATTACTACACCACGTGATGCCCTCATAACACCGCTCTGTGAGGGAGTTACTACACCACGTCAGGCCCCTCATAACACCATCTGTGAGGGAATTACTACACCACGTCAGGTCCCTCATAACACCATCTGTGAGGGAATTCGTACACCACGTGATGCCCCTCATGATGCCCCTCATAACACCATCTGTGAGGGAGTTACTACACCACGTGAGGCCCCTCGTAACACCATCTATGAGGGAATTACTACACCACGTGACGCCCCTCAAAACACCATCTGTGAGGGAATTACTACACGTGAGGCCCCTCATAACACCATCTGTGAGGGAATTACTACACCACATCAGGTCCCTCATAACACCATCTGAGGGAACTACTACACCACATAGGTCCCTCCTAACACCATCTGGGAGAGAGTTACTACACTACGTGTTTGCTGTTCAACACCTACATTAATCTGAATGTTCACTGTATGTTCCTTTACCTATCTCTAATGAAGGCTTTTGTTAAACCACCAATGTATGTAATAAGTCATTTATGTCCAATGTATATTTTCAGCCTTTCTGGCCGTGAACTTTTTCAATAAACCGTTAATTATTATTACACACACACACACACACACACACACACACACACACACACACACATGCCTTTCCTCGTCAAGTTAGGTAGGTAGGTAGATGGATTAGGATGATTAGATTAGCATAGGTAGGCAGACTGAGATGGGTTAGGTTAGGTTATAATTGATTATATTTTATTATTCATATCAAGGTAGGGAAATAGGTATGGTTGGGTAAGTTAGGTTAGGTTAGGTTAGGTTAATTTAGTTTTGGTTAGGTGGATAGTTTAGGTTAGGTGAGGTTGCTTAAATGAGAATAGTTACGATGGGTTGGGTAGGTAAAGTTAGGTTGGGTAGATTAAGTTAGGTTGGGTAGATTGTTAGGTTAAGTTAGGTTGGGTAGGTTAAGTTAGGTTGGATAGGTTAAGTTAGGTTGGGTAGGTTAGGTTAGTTTAAGTAAGTTCGGATTGTTTGGGTAGTTAAAGTATGCTGGGTAAGTTAAATTTGTTGGGTAAGTTAAGTTTGGTTGGGTACCTGCACCCCCTAGCTTAAGTCACCACACCTGCCACCACACCACACACACGCGCTGCATACACAACCCACGGTACAAAACATCAGAGAGAAAGGTGAATGACTAAAGTGTGTGTAAAATATCACATGGGACATGGTATTCATTTAACCTTTTACCGCCTGAATTTTTCCGTCGCGAAAATTAGCTTTTTTTTCTTTTTCTGTGTTGCAAATAAGGCATGGATTCATTCAGATTTAAAAAAATCTATATAATATAGAAAATTTTCAAACGTGACAAAATCGTCACGGTCGTCCTGTAAGACAAAAATGCCTTGTTTTTAAGTAGATGCAAATTCTTGCCTTTTAGTGTATTACAAATGTCAGTTTGTAAAGAGCTATTTTAAGAAACACCAAAACAAGTGACCGTGTTTTTTTTCAGCAAATAACTAATACAAAATCAAGTGACCAAGTGTTTACTTGAGCATATAATCAACCCAAAGTTTAGAAACTAAGTGTAAATATCTACAGAAAACATGAAACAATGAGCCTAAGTATACGAAAAACTACTCATTTTCGCTCATATGGAAACTCGCTCCTTCATTTAAAATAATCACAGACCTCCGTACAAAAACAAAAAATATTTTGCCTGAATTCTCAATTTGTTTTTTTCCCCGTAGAAATGCATAGGCGTACATTACAGTTATTACAGTAGAACACAGGAACAGCTTTGCAGTTTGGATTTTTTCACCTTTCTCTCGTCATCACTACTGGATAATGGTGATATCCAGGACCCAACCATATCAAGTCTGCCAGATTAAGGACCAAAATAAGCACAGCCCGCGCAGTGACGTCAGGCTAGGCATAGGACTCGTTTCCACGTCGCCGCACTTACAATTTCAATCTTTTCCATTTTTGACCTCTTTCATTTTCTTTTCTTTCCTTCGGAGATAACCATATTTATGCAAAATTGATAATAAAGATGAACATCTTTTGATTGAAATTAACTCTGTATATACAGTGATCACTATAATTCATTCAGGACCGATAAAAATATATCAGACACTAAATAATTTTCTCAGCACAGTACTTTTAATGTTAAATAATTTACACAATACATTTAAAATAGTACATAGTGATCTCAGTGATCTCTGAAAATGAACAAATGTTAAATCTATCTATATTAACCCCAGCTTTATGGTGTGGAGTTCACTTTTATTATCTTGTTTTGGCTGATGCCAGATGATTTTATTCAACTGTGAGAACCCATTGGTCATTTAAATATTAATATCATAATAAAGAAATAATAATACTGATAGTATATTGGCTATGTACACGTAATTATATATATGTAATACATATTTTCATCATGACTACTGACTTACTCATACCAACTTTCCAAGTGTAACTGTTTTCATCTTTTTTTTTTTTGTTCTTAGGAAACCTCTGCACGCATTATCCTTTTGCTTGTTGTATGAAATGGTCTTATTTGGGTGTCTAATCATAAAGAAAACAGAGATTTAGGCTGGGACAAGTACCAATAAAATTTCTAATTAGCCATGAAAAAAAAAGCAATGAATTGTAAAATATGCAGATTGGACAGTAGTGGCGGGAAAATGTGGCATCGTTGGGACACACACACACACACACACACACACACACACATGAC